GAGTAGAAGTGGATGTAGTTGTTTCCATTGGATCGTGTTAATGTCCATGTCTCCCCTTGAGCCGAGCGTAGAAGAAAGTCGGGGGGTGCCACTACCAATGGATCTCGCCATCTAACATTCTACTAAGACATGGGAGCCATCTACTCATCCACTCTTCAAGTTGACTCAGTTTTGCCTGCTCTTTTAGGATGATGTAATGAAGATGTATTGCTGCAAGAGTGAGTCTCCACTATGATGCCACCATCTCAAATATCCTCACTTGTTGTTCATCGAAGTGACAGTGGTTCCATGCCTCCTAAAGTGCTTGTACACCTGTGGCTCTCTAGATAGATTAACACTTGTGCCCATTGCCTCCTATATGGACATACCAACTTCAACCCCTGTCATGTCCCACTAGACTTGCATGCTCCATCCATGTCAGCCTCAATGCTGAATATGTCTCCATGCCGAACCAGTGGCCAAACCTTAAGCTCCTTCAAACCAATAGAGAATATCCCACTCTGAGTTCCAAACTTTGGGACATCTCCTAATTCCTGTGACACTTTGAGAATCTGACGCCATACCTCTCTTGTCACATTACAATCTTATAGAACGTGTTGTATCATCTTTAGTTTGCCACACTCCTTGCATCATTGGCATACTTCCTCCTAGAACTACTGGCCCATTGGCAGCCCATTGTTTGCCACCAACCAAAAGGTGGCTTTGACATTCTTTTATACCAATAGTTTCTAGAAAGCAAGTGTATTGTCCACAACTTAGTTCACCTCAACTCCTTGCCCGATCCACCTCCTCCAAAGCTTAGGGATCTCCCCACAAGCTTCCTCCCTACTTGTCAAGAAGCCATCCTTGTGCTTCCTTGACTTTAAATGAGAAGAAGTTCCTCACACCATATTTCCATGTTGTAGGATTGAATTTAGATCTTCAATGAGCTACTGTCACCACCAACTAAGAGTGCCATCCCCCTCAAATGTGGCCTTTGATTGAACCATTACCAATTGTTTTGGGGCCTACTGTACTACTTGAATCCTACCCTTCATCATTTGTCACCATTGGCATGGCCTATTTGTCCCCATCTGGCAACAACATGTCACCTCTCACAACACGAAAGGGATGACCTACATTCTGTTTGAGAGATACTACAAACCATACCTCCACATCTCCATCGTCCCATGCTGGTGTAGGGGCTGTGAACACCTGTGTCCGGGCTCCTAGTCTAACTTACTCCCTGTCCAATTTAGCATCGCATTGCAATGTTACAAAATCTCTAAATTCGAGGCCTTAATTGGGCCAGAGCTGCCCCCTCTTTACTTCAGTCACTAAGTTGATGATGTGAAGAAGGTCTAGATGAACCTTCCTCGACCGCTTTAGGCTGAAGACTTGCATGCACCTCATTGTCTTCCTCACATCCTTGTCTAGCACTCCCATCAGTTGCTTGAGAGTTTGAAAAGCCTCCTCTATGCAGCTTCTTCCATATTGTGTAGTGTTCCTCTTTACCTAGTGTCGTGTTGTCAACTTTGAAGAGATCATTGAAGAAAAGAGGTTGGTTCAGCTAGTCCTTGGCTTGCCCTAGTAGCTCTCAACTGACTAGAACTCATACCATAGCCTAAGAATCCTTTGGACCAGCATGCCTCCCTTGACTATTTACTTTGGCCCTTTAGCAAATAACCAATGTGGATCTTCCACCCATGGTCTCGCAAGGGTTAGATTGCAAACAAATTTTGGCTGAACATAAGTTTCCATAGTTGGTTACTTGTTTAGAGGCCCAATAAGAGAATCTTATATTATAGTGCCTTTGCAATGTCGCTCGGGTCAATAATTCCAAGTCCTCCTAACACTCTTGGGCATGCTATGCACTACCACACAACCTTTGCCATGATTCACTCTGTGACAAGTGCACTCTACAACATATACTTATGTACCATTGAGCATACCTTTTTAAGAGTGTGTTCAAGTATTGGCCAAATCGAGATGTGGTACCAAATATTGGGCAAAATGACACTTTTGGCCACAACTGTTCTCGCTGGCAAACCAAGTTTCCTAGGAGCCCATTTCTATATTGATGTTCATATCCTCTAGAACAAAGTATCATCCTGAAGTGTTGCATTGAATCTCGTTCCAACCTAAATCCCCAATGTATCTAATGTCTTCCCTTGGTTTGAGCCACTAGAAGCCAATATCTTGACCCCAAGACTCGATGCCTAGATTGCTAGAGCTAAGACACCAAGGGGGAGCAATAGATATTTGGCTTGGCACATTTATTCAGATGGCTTAAATGATGTTTGTTCATGTCAAAAAAAAAGGTTTTTATTGATGACACTATCAAGCCTGATGGGGTGGGGAATACACTTCTAGAGCTTTTGCAGTGTTATGTGAGGAAGTAGGAATCCAGAGATAAGTCACAGTCTCGTATACTCCTTGGATGAACGGGGTAGGCTTCAACTGCTATGACAGCTATGACTCATCTCTCCTACCAAGCTTTTGGGATTGTACTGTGGTTACAGACGTGTATGTCCTAAATAAGATGTTAACCATAGTACTTGAACAGGCATGGGGAAATAACTTCGTAGATTTGGCTGCTTGGCATTGCTCATATCCCAGACGAGAGGCATAAGTTGGATGTGAAGTCCAGTGTCTTCATCAGCTATGATGACATTTATAAAACTTATCAATTGCTGGACTTGGATTGCTGGATTGAGCTGGTTAGCATACATGTGGTGTTTCATGAGAATCACATGTACTCTCAACTTCACAACAAAGCTGTGTTACCTCCAGCTAGAGAACCTCCAGGCATTCCAGCATCTATGCCTCTGACTCCTTGGAAGGATGAAGACAAAGAGTTTCTAGTTTTTGCAGGTGTCTCTTCAGCAGAATTCTCGTGGTGCTTCAACTTCAGGGTAGAGTATTCAGCTACTGACTCTTCAGGGGAGAGCATACAATCAACAACTTCTTCACTCAGAGTGCCCCTAAACATTCTCCCAGCTAAAAGTGGATGGTGATTTACAACGAGCTAGCTGTGGTGCATCCAGCTCCAGTGATACTAGATCCTCCTGCTCCTGAGCGTGTTAGGTGTTCCTGGTTTTATATATATCCAGGGGAACAGAGTATTATCAAGAGCTTGTTGAGAAGACACAGATACGAGTTTTAATCCTCGTCAAGCCATGTTTACTGCTGCTTCCTTCCACAATCCTTGAAGCTAAGACGTCTCCTCAAGCAGCATAATGGCTGGCAGTAGCCTGGCAGCTGTTAATCAAGCTCATCACAATCACCACAATCAGACATGGTTTCGTCCACATCATGTGGTATCCTTGAAGCTGATCTTGTGCATGAAGATGGGTCCAGGTGGTGAGGTCGTGCGTTTCAAAGCGAGACTGGTCACTAGAGGCTTCACACAAATTGAGGGCATGGAGTTTACTCACTCTAGTAGTTACAGTGGCATCAAACAGGCTTTTGCTAGGTTCTAAGCATATGGACGTGAAGACAGCCTTCTTTAATGGCGAACCTCAAGAGGATCCAAGGTACATATCCCTCACAACAAACTTGCAAACTTGTTTGCATAGTCTCATGCTTTGTTAGATCTGTTGGTACGAGCAGCCATCATTCAAATGTGTAGTGAAATTTTCAAACAGATTAATGCCAATTCATTTCAGATTATCGAACGGCTAGGATTGTCCCCCTGGGTTTTGGGCCAGGTACAAGGAACCTCGGGGGTGTACATAAAGTTGATTAGGGGTTTTCGAGGGAGAAAGAATGGCGTCTTGGCATTCCAGCGCCTTGGCCGTGATCTATCAAATTCTCGGATGGTTTGCATTCACGGTGTGGTCGATCAGCTTCTATCCGCAAGTGCTGCTCAATTTCCGGCGAAAGAGGTACGCATTCGATCGCGGGAAGAATACTTCCTCGCTCCCTCAGGCCCTTTGCGTTTTTTTGCTTTCTTTTCTCGAGCTAGTTTTCGATTGCTTGCAGCGTCGTGGGGCTCAACTTCGATTTCCTGTTGCTCAACTTCACCAAGCATTCCTCGTATCTCATCTACAACGCCGCCGTCTTCTTCAGCCCTGTCGTCCAAAGGCAGTACCACGACAAGTATGGCGCTGATGAGGTGCGTAATTGAGCGACAGACGAAGAACGCTGAATCCTTTTTTCACCTTCCAGATGATTCCAGTTGCTCCAAACGACATTGCTTTCTCGATCCATGCCGTGCTCCTCACAGGATTCACTATCCTGCAAGTTTTCCTGTATGAGGTAAGAAAGAAGAAGAAGGTGACAAGCTTACGTTTGTGTCGCTTTAGAGAGGAGGACAAAGGGTGTCCAAGGCCGGAGCTTTGGTGTCCCTGGGAGCTTGGCTAGCCGGATTGATCTGTCTCATCGTAGCATTTCCCAGCGGCCGCTGGCTATGGCTCGTCCAAGTTTTCAAGTAAGATCCAATCTCTTTCTGTGAACAGTCTTGGCATGAAAAATCCTTGCGCAGCATCATACAACTGGTGATGACAGCGATCAAGTACATCCCTCAGGTAAACTTCCCTGCAAATCACATCACCCAGAGTGTTAACGACACCGTTTTCATGCGATTAAAACTCAGGCTTGGATGAACTTCAGGAGGAAGAGCACTGTTGGCTGGAGCATAGGAAACATTCTCCTGGACTTGTCGGGTGGAATCGCCAACATTCTCCAGATGGCGGTGCAATCCATCGACCAACGTAAGCCTTTCGAGTTTTCGTTTTCGGTTAAAGATCTAACTCTCCTATCGCACAGACTCCACCGAGAACTTCTCCGGGAACGTTGGCAAACTGGGACTCTCGCTGGTATGTTTGCTCTTGTTACTGTGATTCTAATCTTCGCGTTCTCTGTAGGAAAGCATCGCCTTCGACATTCTCTTCGTCTTCCAGCACTACTTCCTCTACTACGAAGCTGACAAGGTCGAGGAGGTTGCCGCTAACACCTACGAAGCCCTGGAGAACGATCCAGAGCAGGCCAAGACCAGCGAAGAGCATCCCAAAAATCCGTGAGAAAGAATGGCTGCAAAGTCTCTTTAGCGGCGATTGTATATATGATCGTTCGGTTCCTACAAAAAGAGGGAGCAATATGAAACCACGATGATAATCTTTCATCACACCTTTCGGTGCGCCTTTGCCACTTCCTCTTCTTCGTCGAGATCTGATAGCGGGTCATAGCTCTGATCTTCCTGGACGAAGGCTGTCACGAGAGCCGGTTCCGCTGGCTTGCTTTGCTGCGACGAAGAGGACGAGACACAGAACTCGCTAAACTTCTCAAGAACCTGGTCTAGCTCGTCGTTCACGGCCAGTGCCTGGAAGAGTATGGGGTCGCCCTCGCCAGCTCTTTGAGCTACTTGCTGCACTCTACGCTGCGCTTGCTTGCATTGCTCGACCAAAGACATGGTAAGCTCGTCCTGGAACATCCAGGAGAAGGCATAATATAAAAACCAAACGAAAAGGCTTTGGAAACACTCACTTTGGAAACATCCTGGTGCTGATCGGAGGATGTTAGTACGTTTGAGAGAACTTCGACGCTGTTCTTGGCAACGTCCAAAGTGGCACTGTCCGAAAGACGTCCCATGTCGATCACGCTAGCCCCGGAGAAACCACTCGCGCTATTTGGCAGAGAAGGAGCCGAAGGTGACGATTTGGGCGTAAAGATGGGAGACAAGCTCGAAGGGTCGCGGCCAGGAAATCTCACTCCCCGTGCTCTCATGCTCTGGAAAAGAAGTCAAAACTAAGCAACCGAGCTCTAGAAAATAAAAGCTCTTTCCGTCTCTTACCTTGTAAGTCTCCTCGTAGACGGGCAAGTAGCCAAGCTCCTCGGTAGCCTCCCCCCAGGCCTCGATCATCGCCAGCGCCTTGTCCCGGCAGCGCGGCCAGGCCTGTGGATCCTCGGCCATCCTCACCATGTCGTCCAGAATCCTCTCCGACGCAATCTCCGAGAACATCTTCTCGTGGTTCTTGACGCACGCCTCCAGCAGCGCCAGCGCCAGCAGCTGAACGCCCGCATTCTTGTTCGCGATCCTCTTCTTGATCCCGCGCGCTACGTCCTGCCCGGAGACCCGGCCATCGCCGAGCATGTCGCAGATTTCCATGAACCTCCCCCAGTCCGGCGATCGCAGGTTCGCGGCCGTCGCCTCCTCGATCATCCGCTCGCTCGGCGATGGCGGCTGGAACAGCTCCTTGACCCTACCTCCCACCACGGTCATCCGCGCCGAGACCTTGCGGCCGACCTCGGCGCCGCCGATCTTGAGCTTGCTCCCCATCGCAGTGAATCGCTCCTTGAGATTCTCGGGGATTTCCATAGCTCTCGCCCGCCAAGCGCACAAGAAGAAAAAACAATATTACTCACTGGTCTTTGCCCTCATTCAAACAACGGTATATTCCTGCACTGACGGCAGATTCTTGTAACAGAATATTCTATAAGCTAAGCAAGTTTTACTATACACGTTGGAAGATCTTCCTGTTTTAAGCTTCTTCCGACACTGTCACCATGTTTCTCTGCACGGCCGCTTGCAACGCAGCCTCAGCTTCTACTCGATCGAGCTCCGCTTCGTTTAGATTCTGCGAAAGAACAAGGTTGTTAGTGAAACTCTCAAGAATTAAAAACAACGCTAAGGGCTCAAGAAGAAACTTGGAAGAGTAACTTAGACCACTTAGCTCAAGTATGAAAAACCAAAAAAAGAAAACTCTAAGAAGCTCAGCAAGATTAACTTAGAACCAATTAGCTCAAAAATGAAAAACTCAAAGAAAAGCATTAAGAAACTTAGAACCACTTACCTCAAGAACAAACTTGGAAGAGTAACTTAGAACCACTTACCTGTTGGAAGTGATTGAGCAGCCTCTTCATGTTCTTGAGCTCTCTGGTGATATCAGACGCTGCCTTGGACTGCTCCTTCAATTTATCCATCTGGTTCTCGAGAAGGAGAGAAGAAAACTTATGTTAGCGACGGACGAGCGGCTTGAGTACCTGACGCTTGAGTGTTTGTTTTTGTTCCACATTAGATGAGACGACGCCCTCAAACTTTCTAGCCAGAGAGGCTACCTCGGCATTTACCTGGTGGATGCTTCCCATCCTCGTCTCGGCCGAGTCGATGACGGTCCCCATCACGACCATCTGCTGCTTGAGCTTCCCCATCTCGCTCTCCGCCGCCGAGAGCTCGTCCTCGAGCTTCCGAGCCTTGGAGACCGAGCCTTCTCGCTCTCGCACCACCTTTGTAAGCTCCCCCTCCGCGAAGCTCGCCTTGTCCTTGAACTTCCTGGCCACCTTCGCCTCCTTGGCGAGTGCGTCCTGGAGGATGGCCTTCTCCGTCTCCAGCGACGCCACCTTGACGTTTGCGTCTTGCAAGTCCTTGGACAGAGCGTTGAGGTGCTTGCGGAGGTCGTTCATGGCGTCCATGGCCTTGGAGAACTCGGACCTCAAGCTCTGGACGAGTAGCTCCTCCCTGGCCAGAGCCTTTTGCGTCTCCATGTACTGCTGCTCCGCCAGCGCCACCTTCTTCTTCTCGTCGTTTAGAAGAGCCAGGGTGCCGTCGGCCGTCTGGCGGACGTCTTCTAGCTCCTCTTGGACCTTCTTGTTCACCAGGAACGTTTCTTTCAGCTTCTCGCTCAGGGACTTCACCTCCATCGACGACGCCTGGAAGCTCGTCCGCGTGTTGTCCAGCTCCTGCTTCATCTGGCTCGTCACCAGTTGCTCTGCTTGCAGTGACTCTCGCAGCGATTTCAGCTTTGTCTCCGTCATCGCCTTGCTCTCCTCCTTTTGCTTCCTCAGGGACTCTATTTCCTTCTGGTAGGACGTCAGCTCGGCGCCCAGTGCCGACGCCTCGTTCGTCTTCGCTCGAAGGCTATTGACTGCGGAGTTCAGATCTTCTGTCAACTTTTGCACTGACTCGTGCTCCCGTGCCACAATTCGCTCCAGTTCTTCCACTTGCTGCTGGAAGTTCTCTATGACGAGGCCGGATTGTTTAGCCTCGGCACGAGCGGCATCCAGCTCCAAGTTTGCTGCCTGTACTTCGCCTTCCTTGGAAGCTAGTGCCGCATTTACAACTTGAAGCTGCTCCTTGCTCACAGCTTGGAGCTCAGTCAGTTCCTCCTGTGCTTTGGCCAAGCTTTGCTGCGCTTGCTCTGCTCTCGCTGTTGCCTGCGCGAGACGTTCCTCCAAATCATGCACAGTGTCCCCTCTCTCCTCCAGACATGACTGCGATACGATCAACTCTTTCACGAGGTTTTGTATCCTGTCCTCGGCGTCGACCAACGCAGTTCTCGTAGTGAAAATGTCTGACCGTAGCTCTTGCTCGGTGTTTTCCTGTTCCTTAATGGTTGCCTCTAGACCAACGAGCTTTTCTTCTCTCTCTCGTATTTGAACTCCTCCATTCCGGACTTCGGTCTCTAGACCTTGCCTTCGCTGCTCTTCCTGCACAAGCTTGTCTTCGACGGCTTGCACACTGCTCTCCAGGGCCTGGATTGTTTCTCTGTAGGCCTTCACCTTCTTGTCAAGGTTCTGATTGACGTTTTTCTGGCTGTCCAGCTTTAGCTGCATCTCCTTTGCATTCGAATTGAGGATGGTAATTTCGTTGCAAAGTTCTACACGTTCTTCTTCTGATCCGGTCAGCTTATTCATAAGATCCGACTTTTGATCAGCCAACTCCGTATGATGTTTTCTCTTTATGTCGATTATAGCAGCTTGTGATTCTTCCAATTTCGAGTTGGCCTGGTCGCAACGGCAGATGAGTGTCCATGTCTAGTGACACAAATAGAAATAGCATGTACCTCTGCTAACGCCATCTTCGTAGCTTTTTTAGCTCGACCTTCCAACCAATATAGCGCACCAAGAACTCCCGATCCGACCACTCCGAATAGATTTAAAAATCCTAGTGGTCCACTCTCCGGAGAGCTTTTCTGGAATTTAAACACAGTGAGTCAAGCATCGGCAAGTTCTTCGATTACCTCTTCGAGAGCTGTGACTGCCTCTACGACTTTCTCTTCCGGGGACGAGGAAGATAAAACCGGAGGAGTAGCCGCAACTTGCAACTCCGGAAGTGCTGCAATATCGGATGAGACGCGCTCCACTTCCTTGCCGACTGATAAATCTTCAGGGGCAGAGCTCGAAACGCTAGCTATAGCTTCCTCGTTGACAGATGGAGCAGGGGTAACGGTCTCCACTTCCTTGCCGACTGATAAATCTTCACTTGAAACGCTAGCTATAGCTTCCTCCTTGAGAGATGGTGCAGTGGTACTGGCAGGAGTTTCAATGCTTGCCAATATCTCCGCCCTGCTGGCAATTCTCCTCTCGATGGATTGGAGCATGTCGAGCCTCAGTTTCTCGGATTCTGGAACCCAAAGCAAACAAAGTCAAGGTAAATCGAAAAAAGAAGCACTGACCCTCTATGTGTGGAACGTCGGATTTTGCTCCTCCCGAGATAAGCAGCACTGGCGACACCAACGCGACGAGCCCCATGACAGACCGCCTGGAGAAGCTCCTGTTGCCCTCCGATTTCGCTGTGGAAGCAGCCCCTCTTCTCTCGCTCTTGGCCGAGACGCTGAAGGATTTCCTGGATCTGGCGCTCCCCGGCGGCATCGCGAAGCTCTGCGCATCGTAATCCTTGCGAAACTCCGACATCCGGAGCCTGTGAACTGTGGAGCACGGGCACGATGCCGCAAATGCGTTGCCAGCCATGGCCGCGATCATCTCGTCGTCCGCAATCACTTCTCAGCAGCCGCTCATACCTCGATCGATCGATCCATCCGGACGAGAAAATTGGAGCGAGACTTATTCCCGATCGCCCGGAATGGGTCAGCCCTAATAAAATTTCTACCCCTGCAGTTATACAACGGTAAAAGACAAAATCACGGCCGTTCAAAGTACCATCGTATGGCTCCAGTTTTCCACACGTTGGCATTTGTTTCTCATGGTCCAGGTTTTTCGTAAGCAAGGTGCCACGTGTCAGCGAGGCATCTAACCACGTGGAGATTTCTATCTGGATGAAGAGATGACGATAAAGGTTATTCAAACACGATGGAGCCCTAAACATTTTGGTTTTAATGGAGGAGACTATACGCATTTGCGATGGCGAGAGTGCCAGTGATCTCCGCCAGAGCCTCCAGCGGCTCAATGCGTGCCTCTTTCCGGTCAAGTACAAGGACACTTACTACCGGGATGCCGTGCTCGCGGGGAGCTACACGAAGCTAGGTCAGTCGATCTCGGTCGATCAATCAGTCTATGGATCGCATTTGGGTGTTCTATCACTGCATTGCGTAGATATATCGTCGGATCGTGTATCTTTCCAGCGAATTCTGTCTTCCAGTGTCTAGTTTTTCTAGTGTTATCTTCTTCCTGGGTTCGTGCATTCTTGCAAGACTTTTTCTTCCTTTGCTAGACGTGTTATTTTGACACGGTTCTTTTCTTTGAGATCCAAGCTCCTTTCTTCGTTTTCTTCGTGCCTTCCAGCTTTTTACAATGACACTTGATATATTGTGGGATCGTGTATCTTTCCAGCGAAATCACACTTCCAGTCTCTAGTTTTTCTAGTTTTTTTTATCTTCTTCATGATTTTTCTTCCTTTGCGACACAGTTCTTTTCTTTCAGATTCAAGCTCCTTTCTTACGTTTTCTTCGTGCCTTCCAGCTTTTTACAAGGACGCTTGCGTTGGCAACATTGCCTGTAGGCTTGAAGAAACAGGCCCTTATATCAGGGTCTACATTATGACGCTGGGAGTTCTTCCATCTTATCGAAGAATGGGAATAGGTGATTCAAGTTTATTTCGTTGGTTTATTTTTTGATTTGCGAGTTTCTATCTAGGCTCAAAGCTCCTCCAAAGTGTGCTGGGCTTGTGCCAACAAGACCCGCGCGTTGTCGATGTTTACTTGCACGTACAAACGAACAACGACGAAGCCATGGAGTTTTACAAAAACTTCGACTTCCAGATTGTGGACACTATCTTCAACTATTATATCCGACTTGATCCACCTGATTGCTACGTTCTCTCGCTGCGCTTGAGATGACTCCATTTACTATTCTTTCTTCCTTTGAAAGTAAATCAACACCGATACTGTAGGTGGCCGTCACTGGCAACTTTTGTTCTAACAGTGCTCGCATTTTTTTCAGACAATGAAATGTACGTGACTTTTTCACTTGAATACAAAAGCTATTTCCTTGCGAATTCCGTCGGGAGCGCAAATTAAATGTAAGAGACTCAAGGAATGAGTTTGGTCCAGATTAAATGGATGCCAGTCTGTGGATATGGCTTCTGGTTTCTGCCTCGTCCATCCTACTCGTACATGCCGAAGTTTACATTGCGTTGTTAGACGGTGAGCCTGTTGTTCATAACAAGGCAACAACCAAAATCGATAGCTCAAGGTTCTCAATTTCATTAAGTGATAAAGCAGGTTTACGAGTTTTGTTCCTTTGTGCAGTGATCAAGTCCAGATTTATTCCTCATACTTAACCGCTCAACATGATTTTCTACTTGCGTCCACTTTCGGGGAGGAATCGTACACGAAGCTATACAGTTACAGCCATCTGCTTCATGGATTTGCTGTGGATATCACGGAGGAACAAGTAAGAAGAGAATGGATCATATGCGGATTCTTGACAAATTCAATCCTGTTACAGGCAGCTAAGCTCAAATCCACCCAGGGTGTGAAGCTCGTCACCAAAGAAAGAATCATGCGAGCAGTGACAACGTACACTCCAAAGCTTTTGGACCTCCAACACGGTGCGTGGCCACAACTTGGCGGCCTAAAACATGCTGGTGAAGGAATTGTCATTGGCATTGTCGACACGGGCATCAACCCCGATCACCCAAGCTTCGCGGGGAACTCGAAGAAGCCTTTCCGTCCAGTTCCGCACTACAAGGGAAAATGTGTGTCCGGCCATGGTTTTCCGGCGAGTGCTTGCAACGGGAAAGTAATTGGAGCTCAGTTGTTCGGAAAGTCTGTGGGCTACTCCAATGGAGATGGCACAGCGTTCGATGCTGACGGACATGGAAGGTGCAGTATTAACTTCAGAAACTTTCCAGTTCTCTAACTTGATATAATCTCGCAGCCATGTAGCGTCAACTGCTGGTGGCAACAGCGGCGTTCCGGTGGTGGTCGACGGTGTCAACTACGGACTTGCGAGCGGAATGGCACCTCGTGCACGGATTGCAGTGTACAAAGCAGTGTTTGGTGAGAACGGATTTGTTTCAGATATAATTGCAGCCATTGAACAGGTATGAAGGGCAAGTCTCCCTTTTTATAACACTATGCAGGCTGTTCGAGACGGAGTTGATATACTGAACCTGTCACTGGGCTCGGAAAATGTAACTGATGCGACTTCCGTTTTTATGGACCCGGTTGAGCAAGCGCTGCTCTCTGCTGTTCACGCTGGAGTTTATGTGGTACAGTCCGCCGGGAATTTGGGCCCGGCCAAGAGTTCAGTCAGGAGCTTTAGCCCGTGGGTGATGACTGTGGCCGCTGGCAACACTGGACGGCACTACAAGGCGTCAGTGCAGCTTGGAAACGGGAAAACAATTGATGGTCAAGTATTATCACGTAAGTATGGCCATGTCAATGGTTACGTTTCTTTGCTAACATAAAGATACAGCCCCGACTCCTCAACGTAAGAGCTACCCGATTCTCATGGCGGAGGACTCGTATGTTGGAAGCAACTATTCGGAAAAGAGCTGCGTCGATTCTTCTCGATTTAACCGGTCTCTAGTTCGCGGTACAATTTTTGTCTGCCAATACAGCTCCCTCGACAGCATCAGCATTCCAAACGTTCTCAGTGTTGCGCACGCAGCGAAGAACCTGAGTGCTGCCGGATTCGTAATGCTGCTGGATCCGTCGTCCCCTTACGATGGATACATGACATCCCTATATTCTCTGCCAATTCCGGGGCTCGTCATCAACACTGTTAATGCTAGCTCGGTGAGCAAACGCTTTCTTCGACCCCAGAATTACTAACGTGTTCTTATTTCAGGAGTTTCTGGATTACTACTCCTCTCAGACCAAAAAAGCTGTTGCTAGGATCAATAAGAACTCCGTCGAATACAACAGGACCGTCCCGATTGTCGCTCCATATTCGTCTCGCGGGCCTAATCTCTTGAACAACAAGGAAGAACCCGTCGATGTCCTCAAGCCAAACATTCTTGCTCCTGGTGAAGGGATATGGGGAGCATGGTCTCCATCAGCACCCGTGGAAACAGGTAGAAGTGCCATTTTCAGTTTCCAGTTTCTCTAAGTCTTGTTTTTCCAGGCTCTAAGTTTGTGCTCTGCTCGGGAACAAGCATGGCAGCTCCTCACATTGCTGGCGTCGCAGCGCTGATCAAGCAAAAGCACCCGAGCTGGACTCCGGCCATGATTTCTTCGTCCATAATGACTACTGCTTCGGTCGTAGACTCCAAAGGTGGTATCATCCAGGCCGTCACTGATCAAGTGGTGATTGGAACACCTTTCGACTTTGGAGCCGGATTTGTTAATGTATCAGCAGCACTGGATCCCGGCATTGTCTTTGACGCAGGTAAAGAGAGTAGAAAACTCTTAAGTTCTTCTCATTGATTCTTCAAGTGATGGTCAGGTTATCAAGACTATGTGAGCTTCATGTGCTCGCTCAACACTACGCAGGCCTGGAAAGATGCAGTCAAGCAGGCAACGCACTCCGATTGCTCCATAGCTATGGACGCCGCCTACAATCTCAACTCCCCCTCCATCACCGTCTCCAGCTTGAAAGGAAACGTTGTCGTCCGGAGAAGAGTTTCCAGCGTGAGCGACGTCGCGGAAACGTACACTGCTGCGCTGGTCCGGCCCGAAAACGTCACGGCGGACATCGTGCCGGCTACTTTCACTCTTGGACCGCATCAGGAAGCGTCATTCGAGCTCCGCCTCGGCCTCACGGATGGAAAGCTCCTCGCGGACTACGTTTTTGGCCAACTTATGCTGGTTGGAGATAGAGGACACTCTGCCCGAGTGTTTATAACTGTGGCATCCAAGTGACGAGTAAACTCCAGGAAAGATTGATTTGCAAGTTCCCGCAATAAAAGGTGAACTACCTCGAGAGATTTGTTCTGAAACTCCTATTCCAGAGATACATTTCGCTTGGTGTAAGCTTGGGCTTCCTTGATTTCTTCTGGCGAGAGATTCAATCCCGGTGTTTTCTCGAGGAGCTCCAAGCGATCAGCTTCCACTTGCTCGAGTTTCTTCCGGCAAGCTCTCGTGCTTCCTGGAGCTCCGTTAGAGCGCTACTAGAACGAAGTGAAGCTCTTACCAGATAGAATGAGGAGATTAAAGAGCGTTGGAATGTTCTCGATGGCACGTATGAAAGTTATGGAGCTCCAAATCTTGGTGTACTCCTGGCGGCTGCATCGAACCACGACGATGTTCGTGACAGGATTGAAATACTTCACTGCCGCCAGAAAGATTAAGGAGCTACACGAAAGATAGATCCATGAGCGAGTACCTTGGAGGTAATTGGCGCAAATGGCAGCGCCGTAGAGGCCGAAATTGTCTTGCACGCTCTTCTTGATCGCTCCAAAGACGTGCTTCTGCGAGAAGCGATGCTGCTTCTTCCTGGCGGCGTCGATTAGAAGCTCCAGCACCAGGTAGCGCAGCTTGCCTGCAACCATCTCCCGAAAACCCTAGAAAAACCCTAAACTATGATTCTATGAAGAACATTAGAATGTTTCTTATTGCCTATCAAAAAAACCATCCAAGAAGAGAATCCAACCAATTCTTCGCGGCATCCGACCATGGGTGCCACCATTTCCTAGCCTTGTACAACGCAATCGACTCTCTCACGTCCTCCACAGTGGACATCGCGACTAGAACCGGCAGCAAATCGATGAGCACTCGATCCCTCCGGTGATCTCCCGGCCCAAAGTGAGGCACAACGATCCCATTCCCCGGATACCCACTAAACGGCAGAGGAGAGTCGTCAATCCAGATTGTCCTCTTGAGATCGACCTCGGCAAGCCCAAGAATCCCCGGCTCCAGGCTCTTGATGCTCTTCGGGCACGAATCGTATCCAATCCTGTGCGACACCAGCTCTTTCGATGGATCGATCACGTCGAAGACCTTGCTCACGACGATCAACGGGGAGTGGCTGAAGACGATGATGTGGAAGTGTGAGGATAGATCGCGCAGGAATTTGTCCAGCCCTGGGCGCTTGGTGACGAGGAGCTCCTCCGTGTATCGTGGAGAGTGGGGAATCTTAAGCGCGAAATCGTGCTTGAATTTGGGATCTTTGCACACCGGGCTCTTGATGTTGCAAGAGGTGATGAGAGTGCCATCCATATCCAACACCAGCAAAGGTTTCTTGCCCTCCATCTCCACGAACCCTAAATCTGGAGAAGACCTATTTAAGAGCTTTTATGACAGCTAATTAGTGTGTTTTAAGCTAACAAATATTATCAAAGCAACGGTCTCCTGGCTGACGCAATCCTTTTCGTTGAAGGGCTTTTGTTTAGGGTTTATCCAGCTAACCTTTTTGTCTAAGATAATCATATCGTTTTTTGTTTTCCAGCTTAGTATCATTTTAATCTAAGCAAGATTATTAATGCGTCAGTAGTCCAACGGCTAGGATAATTGCCTTCCAAGCAATAGACCCGGGTTCGACTCCCGGCTGACGCAATTATTGTCTAAAACCTCTAGTTTAGCTTAGTATTATTTTAAGCTAAGTAAGACTGTTAATGCGTCAGTAGTCCAACGGTTACGATAATTGCCTTCCAAGCAATAGACCCGGGTTCGACTCCCGGCTGACGCAATTCCTTTTTGCCTCCACGTTTTTAGGGTTTATCTAGAATGCATGGCTGCGGCACTGGTGCGCGCCTCCATTACGTCCATCCCATCTCCCTCCTCCTCCTGGCGCAAGCGCTCCTCTGGGAGCACACTCAAGCTCGAGGTAAGCAACAATCCAGAGCCGCCGCCGATTGTCGATAGCAGGATCCTCGCCTGGCTCAAGAACAACGGCAAGGACGCCGCCTCTTCCACATCGTCCTCCACCGATTTCGACGATCTGGTCGGGATCTTCTCGAGCTCCAGCAGCGAGGAGCGCGCCAGCGCCCTCGACAAGCGATGGAAGGAGGACGAGAAGAAGAAGAAGAAGAAGAAGCTCACGGCGGCGATGGTGGCCAGCGTCGTCGAGTCCCTCCCGGGCGTGAACCAAGCCGTGGCATTCTTCCATTGGGCCGGCGACCGATTCGATCACAACGAGCACACCTACAACGCGCTGCTCAAGCTCCTGCTCGCCTCCAGCGGTGCCGAGCACGAGGCCCTCCGCCTCTTCCTCGCCATGCTCGACGCCGGCTACCCCTCCGACTCCTCCACCTTCGCGGTCGTGCTCCGCGGCCTCCACGCCTCGGCCAAGCTCCGCCACCTCGGTCCCCTCCTCCTGGACGAGATCCGCGACCGCGGCCTCTCCCCGGACCCGGTCGAGCTCAACACCATCCTTGCCGAGCTGTGCGACGCCCGCGACACCACCACCGCCATGGCGCTCTTCGACAAGATGGCGGAGCTGGGCGCCGTCAACCACACCACGTACTACAACCTCATCCACCCGCTGTGCAAGGCCCGGCTCCTGGACGAGGCCATGGGGCTGCTGCTTGACATGAAGTCGCGCGGCATGAACCCGGGGACGCTCCTCCACAACGTCGTCATCGGCGGGCTGTGCCGCGCGGGGCGCCTCCGCCACGCGCTGGGTGTGTACCGCCAGATGAACGACGCCCACCCCCCGGACTTCCTCACGTACACCAAGCTCGTCCACGGGCTGTCCAAGGCGGGCCGGCTGCGCGACGCCGTCCAGGTGCTGCAGGAGATGGTGTCCGCGCGGCACGTCCCGGACAACACCACGCTCACCGTCGTCGTGCAGTCGCTGTGCCTGGGTGACCGCGTCGACGACGCGCGGGAGCTCGTCGAGGAGATGCTCCACCGCGGCATGGCGGCGAACGCGATCACGTACTCGGCGCTGGTGGACGGGCTGTGCAAGTGCGAGCGGCTGGACGAGGCGGTGGCGCTGGT